TTGTAGGCATGTTCAGCTTTGTTTACAAATTTGACTGATATTTGGCCGTGCTGATTGAAGTATGGTCGTTCACATCGTGCATTGTACAGAAGAATCAAAGTTTTTGACACTGTTAAGGTTTAACCCGCTAGACTTACGTTTTACTGCGCGATACACAAGCCGAGACAAATTCTAGTGTTGATTATAAAACCGCCGTTGGTTCAGGTCTGTAATTATTCATTTTAAATTATTGTTCTGCGAATATTCCCATGTTCTATTTGAAAAATCAATTTGGCAAACACGAGTTTTTGGTAAGTCATCAGCAGGCCAAAAACAGTTAAATTGAACTTGAAGATATGAGAAATTCACAGCGTTTATAAGTGGTTTAGGGGCTAGTTACACTCATCGTTCCAACACCACCCGCATGACGAAGTCGGCGTGTGATGGTTATTGGGACAAGGGGAGGGGGAGGGTGACATGGGCTGTGAGTGATGTTTGTAATTCGGGTACGTTGAGCACGCAGTACTGTCTTCAGGAGACTGGGGCGGCCTGCAGTGATCATCTGTTGTCGGCGTTGGCCACGGAAGACAGAGCGCCTGTGCCAACGTCTTCTGACAACATAGCACTTGATTGGCTAGCCGTACAGCCACTGCCACCCGTTGGCGTTGACCTCTTCAGAAGCTTGCTGGTGTCCGGTAGACAACCTGATAAGCTTCTTTGGCATCGACTCGACGATTCCTACCGACAAGATATGCATGAATAAAACCCAAAATCGATTCGTCTCACCTCTGTCTAGCCAGACCGGTATAATTTCACGTACTCTTTTTTCCAGGTTTCTCGTTATACGGCCAATGTAGCCCGCTCCACAGGAGCAAATGAATGAGTAACGGTAGTCGGCCTTTACCTCCTAAGCATAGGAGGAGACATATTGGTTGTGCAATCAACCGCTTAATCGGAGAAACGTTTCAGTGAAGCAATTTGCTTAAATTTAACAATGTTTTGGGATAGGAGTAAATTACTTTAGTTTATGATAATAAAATGTATCATATTTGCGGAAAAGTGAGACGAAGGCTCAGATTGAGTAAGCTTAAATGAACTGAAGGTCATCTTTATGCTAGCAATTTGAGAATAGACAGACTTGTTGGGCCCCAAGAGAAGGAAATGAGTCCTCTGATTTATGGGTTAAGATTAAAATTTGGTACACTAAACTATTTCAAGGTAAAACAAAAATAAGTATACGCTAGTGCCCATTGGTAGAATAGAAACTTATTTCAAAAGACAGTCAAGACGTCTAGAAAACAAGAAGATTATCCCATGCTTTCAAAAATTGTATACGCACTGAAAGAACGTGAAATAGAACTCATGGTTCTTACATGTTCCAATTGTCCCTTGTGCATACACATACCAGACCAAACCGTTAACAGGAAAAAGTTATAAAGGCATTTTTAAATAAACAATTTTTTGGCCTTAAAAATATACAAAATCTCCTGTAACATGAATACGTTAGAGAAGATCGGTGATTCCATAAGGTAGAAAGACAAAGGAAACGGATCAGCATAATCTATTAGCTATTGTCAAGTATGGTTGCAAAATTTAAAACCATTCCTAAAACAACAAGCTGTGTTCCGTAAGATTTGTCCATATAGCAGTTTTACTGTGGGGAAAGATATGTATACCTAAAATTATGAGAAAATGGGAAATATAAGATGTGGGAGGGCATTCATGCCTAGCAAAGGACCGCGGTTCTGCTAGAAACAAAAATTGTCATTATCTTGTCTGCAATAAAAAGTGATAGTAGGAAAATCTACCGAGACCCATAACAAGGGTATTTTAGTTCTTACTAACCAAAGTTTCCTAAACAGCTCAAAATTCTACAGAATGTACGCAAATTCTAACTCTTCGTCTCACACTAATTGCTGACTCCATGAAGAAAAGTAAATCGCTTACTAGATTGCATCCACGAATCTAAGCATGCATGGTAACGTAGGGCAATAAAATGACTGTACAAAAGTAAAGCTTTTTTGAGTGTTTATTAAAAATCCAGAGAAGCATGATAACTTGACCCTCACAGGGCAATGTGGAAGGAGTCAGACATAACTCAAGTCTCTGAGAACTTCTACGACAATTGCCTTATTCATAGACATCCCATGACCGGCATACCAGAGTTAGGCTTTCTTAGTGCAACAACCACACACACCATCCGTCTGTTATTTTTAATTTTACAAAAAAACCGAAATCGCAATATACTTTCGTATATTTTGTGAAGTGTACGACAACTTCTCACACCACATAACCACATAGACAACTTTAAACCGATAAGTGTTTAGTTAACACTCTCCCGTCCCATTAGAGATGAACTATCTTGTCGTTTTGGTATATTCTAAGTGAACTTGTAGAAACACTGAATTATTTTATCTGTACACACTTGGTGCAAATCAGATTGAATTTGGATGCCAAAATAGTAAATGCTTTACCCTGAAAGTTAGTTTAAGTGTATGTCCGTCTACGAAAAAGATAAAGTCATTGGCCTTGGCTTCATTGAACAGTACGTCAGCAACATAAAGCGTCAGATAAAAAGACCCGTTTTGTCGAGTATGCATCTTGAATAACAGGGGTATCACCCAGACTCTTCTTCATTCTCTGTCATCCGACCGCCGGGGCATAGCAACTCCAAGTGACTTCGTATGCTTCATTATTTATACTTGGACTGGCCCCTTGGGGACATAAATCGTAACCGCCCTGCACCTGCGTGTACGGCAGGCATTTTATCTAACCATCTACCTGCAGCTATCTGTCCTAGTTGGATGTTCGAAATTTGAAGTGTCTTTTATTTTTAGTATATGCTTCTGCTTTTTAAGCTAAATCAAGTCAGATCTTCGGCTCTGTCACTCATCACGGGAATAGTGGGAAACTGTCATAGATACAGTTCTGACAACCTGCTGGGCACGCCGAGAATACCTTGAAAAAAATATCAACACCTACGCTTACGTCTACCTAAAATGTAATATTTCCTAAAAATCTATGATAAAGTGTATGGTATTTAACCCCAAGAGTCCCTACTTGTGTTGCTTTTTTAGCCGACTCGGCACAGCAATTGACTAAGTGCCTATCCACTCTCGCCGATTTATTTCCCTCATCGCTGGTTTTGCATCAACTATTTACAACCCTAGCTTTTATGAAGCCAACCTTATATCACCCTTGAGCACTGCCCTCGACCGCGTCCTCATTGGTTCCTGCTTGCATACTGTAATTAAGGCTGTGAAAATAAATACAGACGACGACTACGGGTTGACTGCCTTGGGAAATCATGAACAGTTATGTCTTGTGGTTACGCCCTTGTCGCTGATCCGATGTGGTAAGAAGTGTAAAGAGGACTCAGCTACGGATGGTGTCTTTCAGTTCGTGGCGTTAATGCTACAAGCAAGTTGTTAAGCTTGTTGGATACAGACAAACCCGGTTTAACTCAGGAGCATATATCGGATTAAGTAACATAGCTTTTCAATGTGGAAAGAATGTCAAGCTGTTAAACAAGTTTTTATTCATTTTTGGAAAATTTTTCTCGATATATATCCCACAGTAGCTAAAGCATACCGTCCTTTGGTTCGGTAGATAGGAGACAATATATCTCGTCTGTGATCCGGCAGCTTTTGGCCGTGAGAACTATCACTGACTACTTCGCCATTTTCTTCCACACGCAGCTCAACTTTGTAAAGTATGACGTATTTAAGGCTCCTGTTCATAATCAAGGAACCAGCTACCAAATGGTTAGGTTAGTCTTTCGTCCCCTATACTTACGTCTGAAGATCAATTAACACGTCAGAATCGTTACAGTCCTCCACCACAGTTTCCTCTGGTTTTAGCCTACGCAAGCATAGTTCACCATATCTCGGGCCTTACCTTGCACTATCCTGCCCAGCCTCGATGAATCGCCGGCTCCAACGCAGACCAAAAAACTATCTAGGCCTATCTAGCGACCACACCATGGAAGGGGTCGACGATGGGACCACTGCTAATCGGCCTGGCAAACACATAGCACATCTTAAGAAAAAGTCGAAACTTTACTTTAACTGCGTCTTTGAGATTTGGAGGACCCCATGACTCACGTGCAAGATAAATTCCTCGGATCCTTTTTCAATGCAGGAGCGGTAGCTCGTCCACTACAACCATGACGTAAATGAAAATGTTCTCACGGACTAACGAATGATATCTCACGAGCCCTATGTATTAAAAGGAGTAAATAAAACCGGTCAGTAAATAACATTGCTACTCAGAACGCAACGTGACCTGAGAGCAGAGCATGGCAGTGGAGCATGATAGCGAGGCAAGGGTTGTCCAGCCGAGCTGTTTTCGTCTCGTTAAAACAAGCAATTTGGTGAAAGAAAATGGGACTAGATTGTCAAAAGGAAGTTAGTATGGTGCTTCGCCACAGTACCTCTATGAGACCGAAGTGCGACCTAAAACGGCCCCAGAGGATATGCATAAGTCTTGAAAAAATGCGCAACTAAACGATCAGGAAAGTGGACGTGACGGCCACTGCGAGTGATATAAGCAGGAGGTACAGTTGAAGAGGGTTGGGTGCATGCCACGGTAGAGAAGGATGAATTTGTCGTTGGCAACTGTGGGCAGGTAGGGAGAGGAAGTATGCGGGACGGTGGGATAGAGGGCAATGGAGGGGAAGGAGGAGGAAGTTGGGGAGGTGAAGAAGCAGGGGAAAGCGGAAGTAGATGAACGAGGGGTTAGGTGATCAGCGCATTTTTGTCTTCGTGGTAGGTCCAACAGCTCCTATGCAAAAGCAGCCTTGACATTATTGACACTGGCCACGTCCTTCTTGTCATTGCGAAGCATGCGGCAGGCCTTGGTGTTGCGCGCGAGCACACGGAACCGTCCTTCGTATGGTAATTCCAGCGACTGGAGCACACGGTCACACCAGACGAACACATGAGTGCAGTTGTCCAAGTCTTTTTCGACATAAGACTCGGTCGTTGGAGTTCGAGGTGGAAACGGGAAAACGAGCACACAAATTACCGCAGACAGTACACAAAATTGTCAGGGGTTTCGTCGACACCACGAGAGGTTGGGGTGACCATCTTGCCTGGCAGTTGGAGAGTAGTGCCGAAAACCAACTCAGCTGCACTATAGTTCAAATCCGAATTCAGAGCCGCGCAAAGGCCGGGGAGGACAAGTGGAGGTTGTTTGACCAAGTTCTTGGGTCTTATGCGACACGCAGAGCGATGGACACGCTCAACCATCCCGCTGGCAGCTGTCGTCCGAATACGCGTGCAGCCAAGAAAACTGAGGAGGGTTGGGAAGACAGCAGACTCAAACTGGGCACCACGATCAGTCGTAACCGTGAAGGGGACACAGAACATGACTGCCTAACGACTGACGAAGGCCCTCACGATGGCTTCAGCCGGCACATTCGGAATGGAATTGCTTCAGCCTAGCGAGTGTACCGAACAACGTAAGTAATAAGGTGAGTATAGCCGTTGGATGGAGGTAAGGGGCCTACGACATACGGGTGCATATGGTCAAACCGAGCGTCAGGGCTGGGGAATGTGCCTGGTGGGGACTGGTTGTGACGTTTCACCTTGTTGTGCTGGCAATGCAAACAAGAACGCACCCAGGCTTTGACGTCCTTGTTTATGCCAGACCTGACGAACCTTTCCGAGAGGAGATTTTGTGAGGCTTGGATCCCAGGGTGGGAAAGTCTATGGAGACTTTGGATAACAATTCGACACATCGAGGCGAGCACAAAAAATCGATGAAAAGGAGTCTAGACGTCACACAAGATTGTGCCAGTGGCCAAAGGGACGTCTACGAACTGAAGACCACTAACGAACTCGTCGTCCGGGCAACCAACACACCGTTGCTCATTCGCCATGGCACAAAGGTAAATCCCATGGGAGAGAGGAAACGTCGAGAGGGAAGGTTTGGACAGCATATTGGCCACCTCATGCTTCCTGCCATCAATGTGGCGGATGTCGGTGGTGACTTGGGAAATAAAGGCCAAGTGAGCCATCTCTCTCGGGTTGTATTTGTCTGAGTGTGCTCGTATAGCAAATGTAAGGGGCTTATGGTCCGTGAAAAGTGTGAAGTCACGACCTTCAAGGAAATGTCGAAAGTGTTTCACAGCCAGCAAATGGCAAGAAGATTATGGCCAAAGGTACTGTGTCTCGTCTCAGCAGCCGACAGTTTCTTAGAGAAGAACGCCAACGGTCGTGTGGAGTCAGTTAGGTGTTGTTGGAGGACAACTTCTAGGGCTACTGTCCAAGCGTCAACCATGAGGGACAGCGGGGCTTGGGGAGCAGGATGTGCGAGCAAGGTATCGTCAGCAAAGGAGGACTTGGTCCTCCCGAAAACAGTTAGTACGTCCGCAGTAAACCCAAAGGGACCTTTCGGACGAGAAAATATGTTGGTTGGTGACGGCGTGAGGACGGTACAGTTCGGTAGGAACAGGGGGTAAAAGTTTTCCATGCCGAGAAGACGTTGTAGCTAACGCTGAGAGGTTAGTGAAGGAAAATACTGAATGGCTTCGGCCTTGGAGGAGAGGGAACTCAAACCTTCTGAGCCGAAAGGATGGCAAAGGAATTCAAGAGAAGGCACGCCAAAAACGTACTTTGAGGGGTTGATGACGACACCGTACTTGTCGAGGCGTTTCAACACCAAGGCAAGTTCCTCTGTGAGTTCTTCGGCATTCTGGCTAGCCACCAAAAGGACATCGATTGAGACGTAGACAAAGGGTAGGCTATATAAGGAACGATCAATGAACCTCTGAGGCGTTTGAGCGGCATTACGACGACCGAAGGGCATACAGGTAAATTGAAGGAGACCGAAAGGTGTAGTGATGGCAGTTTTGGGGATATCCTCAGTGACGACCGGACTCTGATGAAAGGCACGCACCAGACCAATCTTCGAGAAAGCCGCTTTGCCGAAATGGGCTCCAACAAAATCCTGAAGATGAAGCACAGGGTGCCGATCGAGAATGGCTGCGTTGTTGAGGGCACGATAGTCGCCACAGGGTCTCTAGTCGCCTGATGTCGCCTTGAGCACCATGTGCAAATGGGATGCCCAGGGGCTCTCGGACGGTCGAGTGATTCCCAGCTGCAGCATGTGTTCAAATTCCGCACTCGCGGCCTGAAAACCGGCCGGTGTCAGTCGTCTAGGTTGAGCGAACATAGTAGGACCTGAGGTTCGGATATGGTGCATAACGTCATGTTGAACCTCGCCACTACGAGACTGCGGATTGATGATGTTAGGGAGTTTAAGGAGTAGTTCCCAAAAGGAACTAGTAATAGCCGCATTCAAGACAGATAAATTGTAGAAGTAAGTGAAGCGAGTTAAATCACGCACAGAGAGACCAATTATGCGGTCGAGGAGTCGGAATCGTTGGAAAGGAACGAGATCGGACTCGGCCAAAAAGTTCGGGCCGATGATTGCATGAGAAAAATCAGCAATCAAAAAGACGCAGGAGAAAGATCAACGAAGGCGAATGTTTGGGTTGACGGACAGCCTGTAAAAAAGGGAAAATGGGAAAACAGTTGGCAGCTTGGAGATGAAGACTCGTGCTGGTGAAACGACTGCCAACTGGAGTTGGGGGGACAACTCTGATTTGGGCTCCGGTGTCCACAAGGAAACGTTTGCGGGTTACACAGTCGAAGACATAGAAGGTACGACCCAAACCAGAAGAGCCAGCGAAAACGGTTGCGTCTATTTTCTGTAGTGCTTTCCCTGTTTCGGCTTAAAAGAGCAGGTCAAGGAATAGCGACTGGCCTTTGCACGGAAACTGGTAAGGATACCAACAAATATTGGCAGTCTGAGGTCGCGAGCGCGAACCCCAGCGGTTTGGAAATCAACTGGAAGTAAGGTTGGTAAGCTCCAGTTTAAGCGAGATAATTTCATCCGCCGTGGCCGACATCTGCTTCATTAACTGCTCATTCACTGTCGACAAGGATGTGGAGATCTGGGCAACGGAGGGCGACTGAAACCGCTGCACCTCTATCATTCAATCCACCATTTCAGCCAGCTGTGAAACTGCGAGATCTTGAGAGTTGGACGGCAAAATCGTTTAAACATCCACAGGCAGACGCTCTAGAAACATCTTTCTGACGAATTTCTCGTCAATCTACATGTCTCCAAGGAGAGAACACGTTCGACATAGAAGTTATGAGGGCATCCAGTCACCCAGTGATTCCTTCTTAATCAACTGGTGATAGCGCTGTCGGTCAGACAACATTAAATCGAAGGTTTTCTACATTTAACGTGGAATAGGGAGAATGTGCTGGGGATTAGATAGCAAGGGCTGAACTCGGGCGATAACATTAGCGAGTAGAACCTCCACAAGTTTGTCGCATTTCGCCAGCTCCTTGGTAACTGTAGCAGAACAAAAGGCTGATTCGATGCGGATTAAATAAAGTTCTGAAGTATGCTGCCAGAATTCGAAAAAGGTAAAACTGGCGACAGTATGGACGAGGACATCAGGTCGTTGGTTGGAATTTGATATAATAAGCAAGATACAGATGGCACAATATCGCGAAAATTCGCGAGAAAAACGGGCGTAAATGGAAGAAAAAGTTAAAAATAAGTAGTACGTTTGATGTCCTTCACTATGACAGAGAAAGGTATAAAATCTGCGTTGACGGCGGGGTTCACCAATGACGTAAATGATAATGTTCTCACGGACTAACGAGTAATACCTCACGAGTTCCAAGTATTAAGTTCAGTAAGCGAAACCGGCTAGGTAATAATATTGATATCTCTAACGTAAAATGAGCTGACAGCAGAGCACGACAGCGTAACACGCCAGCGAGGCGGGGGTTAGTCTAACCGAGTTGTTTTCGTCACGTTAAAACAAGCAATTCGGTAAAAGAAAACGTGACTAGATTGTCAAAATTAAATTATTCTGGTTCCTCGCCACAACCACGTAGACTGTTTGGTACAAGCCCACTCGAATAGGAGGCGCCGCGACTGCAAGACCATCCAACACCAGATCACCGTCGGACCCACTTTGCGCGGACAACACGACGATCAGATCCGGCAACTGACAGCCAACAGGGACGCCCCACGCCCATATGCAATTTTCACACCAGACGGAAACTAGAAACCAACAACCTTGGTGCCCTACACAGTTGTTCACACCACAGTAGCCCACCAGTAAACATGTCGGCGACTGAATACTCACATGCCTATGATGTCTCAGAAACTTGCTCGAATTCAGAGACAGGTCACTTAACATAAGGAACTGTTTTAAGGGAATTCGGTACTCATACTGCTCTGACTTATTTACATTGGCAGTCGTGGACTTTCTGGCGAACATATAGCTTCGAAAGGCATAAAGTAAAGTTCATCAACTAATTCTTGCTACCCGCTTCCGTAGCAGTATCTACAAATTCACCAAAACATTGTCGCGAACATATAGCTTCAAAAGGCAATATCGTAAAGTTCATCAACTAATTCTTGCTACCGGCTTTTGTAGCAGTTTCTACAAATTCACCAAAACACTATCGCGATTCGCATCTGCGGTCCACTCATTCTGTGGTTTGACTGCAACTCTTCGTTGACGACGTATAGTCTGAAAAGTAGTGGTGGAGTCTCTTATTTTGTCAGAAGCTCATTCTGAGTTGCGATTGCTCATCTCTATGAGGCTGACTGAAAGAACTGTAGACAGGAGCACAAGGCAAGAAGTAATCGTTAGTTTTCCCAATTGAATGGAAGTGAGGCTTCTGGAAGTTGATTCCGTGTGAGAACTTTGCGTCCGGCATACACCAAATCTGGTTTTGTGAATGAGCTACAGGAGTTTTCCCATGTACGACATAACAATCTCCCCCAGTTGGTTGCACCACTCACTGTCGGTATAAACAGAAGGAACAAGACAACTCATAATATAGGCAGAGAAAGATTACGGATGAAGACGAGGCCGATCTGAATGACCATTTCCACCCTGTTGACCGTCGTCAGTCAGCTTCACCGGAATCCACATATTTGCGCCCCTCAGTCTAAAAACCGATCATCGAGTCACATTAAACGCCAACACCCACTCTATAAGGGATATGGCAAAGGAACAGCCACGAGTACTTTGCGGAGAACTGCAAAGTGCAAATGTTCTCATTCGGCGTGAGCTTAGGAACTTGACGAGGAGAGCTTGCAGGGTCTTGGTCGCCTCTAATTTCGCAGTCGGGCGTATCCCCACAACTGCCTGGAAGTAAAGTCCTACAACCTGTCCCTGCTCTTTGCCCAGGCATAGAAGTATAGACCAAAATGAAAAGACAGCGATTTTCAGGTACACAGGGAGATGAAGGAGACCCAGTTGGTAACTTCGCATTCAACGATGGCGCAGCAGATGTGAAATCGATTAAGCAACTTTGTGAAGGATTCGCGCAGGGGACCCGAAAACAAAGGGTTTGTTAAGGAACAGGTAAGTAACTCATCGAAGCATATCCTTTTACATGGTTTAGCGAACACGGGTCTTCCGTTTATGTGGTTTCGCGGAAAAACACTGTGACATGAATAAAATGTCTGGATACATTGATGGAGTCATTTTAATTACAGCAACTGGGAGTGCTCAACAATTGCAGTGTCTAACCATGTAGAATTTTACCTCAGTTGATTTGCGGAATACGCTTACTCAACATAGTTCAAAGAGTTGCATCAGGCATTCACGGAAGATACTGGCCTGATTCTGAGAGTCCGGGAGCCCGAAAATCACACCAAATTACTCCTTTTACTATCGTGAGTAAAATAAACTCTGTATTGGTAATACTTTTGTTTTGCAGACTGCGGAAAGTATATAAATGGATCGCTTACGCAATATGGTTGAGAATGCGGAAGGGTACAGTTTGTTAGGTATTAAAATACCGAGGTCACCAAAGTCTGCCCTAAAAATTATGTTGGTTTTCAGGGACATCTGAAGGATCGTGAAAGATATACTTACGGAGTAATTCAGCATTTAATTTGCACAGATGCAATTTAAAACTATTGAAGTAACCCACATTAAAAACCCATTATTCTGCTTTTTTATTTGTTTCCTAGTGTCAGCACTCGTTACTCGCCGAAACGGTTGGGCACTACGATTTATTCAAAAGGCATGTACTATGAAACGGGAAAACAATAATCAGCGAATAATCCCTCCTGTCTCTGTTTGTGGCAAAATTTGTAAGATCTCTGGGTTTGAGTTTTTTCAAGGCAAAAAGACAGTTTTCAGCACAAATATGTCGTCGTCCACAATCTTGTGTACGTGTAATTGTTGGACACAGTCCCATCTCAAAGAAGGTAGGCATAAGGATGATGGACAAATTAAACTGCGCATGCGTTTCAATGCACATATTGTTCCATGCAAATTCTTCAACCGTGAGCGGGAAATTTACAGGAGAGCTTCAAACGATCGAAAATACAACTGTTATGAGCAATCCAATATACGACGTAAAGAAACAATATCACATCGCTCCCCTTGTCTGGGTTTAAAAAAGCTTGCTTTGAAAAGTTTTCAGAGTTGGTGGACAAAATAACAACTATTTGCAGTATCTGATTTTTAATTTTAATAATATTGTCGGGTTTTAATGGTTGTTACAAGTCAGAATGCCCAAAAATCTGTAGAAAAAAACTAAACTGAAAAGGATGTCGACAATTATATTTTCAATTAAGTGTCAATCGAATATTACAAGTTTCCATCAGCGCTTATTTACTATGTCTGTCAGCTCTGCGTAAAAAGGATTTCAGCCGAATTCTTCCAAATAAAATCTTGGATATAAATGCAGACAGGCACTCGCCTACGAGTCCAACTTGCATGAAATACCAGTTTAGAATCGTCAAATACACTATGCAAGACAGAGCTGAAGGTCGTTAGCGCAAGATCTGTCCAAAGCGTTTGTTTAAGACGATGTACTTATGCTAAAGGTAGAAGAACAAAAAGAAGAAAATACCAGCCTTTGCCAGTTCGATGCAGAATACTTTAGTTGCCAAGAGGAATTTTCTAGGCTGTTCAAAGTCTTCGGAGTTACAAACGGAGGGAGACAAGCTCATTGGTCCATGAAGTTTTGCATAATGGTAGGGTGGTTAATTCTCCCTTAGTTTCTAAAGGTATTTGAAAAGCGTTTGAGAAAAAAAGAATGAAGGGCGTTTAATATTTTAAGCATTTGGCAACTTATCAGGAAAATTTGGACGATAAGTTCTTATCTGAAAGT